AATGCAACATTCTTTGTGTGTTACATCTTCCTTTGGTTCTTCTGACTTATCTCTTAATGAATAAGGTGTGACCTTAAAACTCCTAATGTACCATGCCTGAGCTTCCCTTGGATCTGAACGGACTGTTACAATTGTTTCATCCTCTGTCGGGAATTTCATTACCATGTGTACAGTAGAGACAATGACTCTAAGATGATTTAGTGCTACTCTTCCTATTTTAAGATGTTTCTGCTTCTATGAGTATGTATTGAACCATGACTCGTTTGCTATGGTCCAATAATTCAAACGTGGTGATTAGGTCCATGTATCCCTTGGTGTGTACACATTCTTCGACAAAATCGAGTAATGGTCTAATGAGTTCCTCAATAATGTCTTTAACCTTTTGACATCTTTCATGGTATGCCCATAATTTTGATGAAATCGGAAGTACTTAGTTGTGTCCACATGGACTGATGTCGGTAGAGGTAGAGGGGTTCCAGACTAAATGCTTCTTGTAGGATCGCTTTTCAATTGGTGTTTAAAGGCATATATTGCTCATACTTAGTGGTTCTCGGTTTCTTGTAACGTCGGGTAAAATGTGTTTGAGAGTCGTTATGCCTTTTCTTATATTAGGCATTTTTACCCTCTATTCGGATATAATAGGCTGCTCGACATGTAACTCATTAAGGGACCTAGGTGGATAAGCAAAGCAACTACTCATTAAGGGTCCTAGTTGTAAGGTGACTAATATTGCATGTAAGGTCACTTCTTGGTGTAGGTTTGGTAAGGTATTTGAAACTTGTGTGAATCGATCCATAAAACATCGAAGAGATTCACCCTTTCCCTGTTTCACACATTCCAAGGCCCCTAACATGACCTCATGCATATTACTAGCTGCAAACGTTACTCGAAAGCGCTCTACCAACGTATAATATGAATCTATGGAGTTATATAGTAAAGAATTATACCATCGTATAAGTTAACCCTCTTAACGTGGTGGGAAAAACTCGACAGAGAATTTTTGGATTTCATATCTTTAAGTATGTGTGGCTTAAACATGGAATAGAGCTTATACGGTAGGCTCTTTTGAAGGGAAGAGCCGAATTGTTGCCTCCATAGTGTGTTCGTGTCTTTCATGTTCCCTCAAGTGATCTGCTTCTTTGAGCTCGGCATTTTGCAGCTCAGTTTTGGTGGAATTTTTCTGATATTTGGACCAGGATTTTAGCTTATTTTGGACTTCCGACTATTAGACATATTTTATTGGTTGGAGCTAGGGATTATTCGGTTCATGGTTGGTCTTGTTGGCCGCCTTTTGTTGAGTTCTGAAGTAGCTTAACAGTATAGGGTTGGTCTCATCGACTGTCTTTTTGTTGAGTTATGAAGTAGTTTAACATTGTTATGCTCTTACAAATTCTTTATCTCTTCTTGAGTTCTTTATTGAGACTTGTCCATGTGCTTTTCCAGGCTGTCAATGATGGCTGAGGGATCCACGTTGCTGGGGTTGAACACCATCTGACTACGGGTTAGAACCATAGGATGAGAGAGATAGTGAGAGATGTTTTACTGGACTCCACGGTGGGTGTCAAATATTCTTACCGAGCTAAAAATTGTCGACAAGAAAGGAAGATGAAGTCGGTTGACCAATCTTCAAACTAACTTTGAAAATGATATCTAGGGAAACATAGAGACTCGCTTGTAAAAGGCACTCTGACGCTCAAATTAGTTAACTTTTATACAAAAGATTGATGTATATGAAAATGAGGTGAGTTTTACTCCCTGGTTAGATCCTTTGTATAATATTCAAAAAATAATAATAGACTATGATATAATAACTAATAACCCATAAAATAATAACTAATATAAAATATTATAACATAAAAAAGATAATTAATAATAAAAATAATTAATATTTTTAATGAATTTGGGTCAATAAACACTTAGTCTAATAGTTTTGCGCAGGCTAATAACAAATTATGTTTTAATATTTTTAATTTTTCTTTTTAACTTTGTAGCATATAACATGATTTACCTTCTATCTTTTTCTACGTATATCATCTATTATTCTAAATAACATTAATTATTATTTAAAAATTGATTTATATTAACTAATATTTAATATATAAAAAATGAGGCAATTTAGAGTATTAAAAAATATGTATAATTTATAATTATATATAATTTTTTTATGATCGTTCTTTTAATATTATAAGAGAAAAAATTAAAAATATTATAGATTAAAAAAATATTTTAATTTATATATTAAAAAAAGTATTTAAAAAAGTTATTATAAAAAATATAGATCCGATGTGTATTTCTATTATTACATAATAAAAAAAATATAACAAGAAACCATGTTCAATTATCCTATATTAAGAATTAAGGGTGTTTCCAACGTGGTTTGGTGTATTTTTTGAATTTTTTGTTTTCACTATTATTACATCTATTCTTAACTTATTAACTACAATGTAAAATTATAGTCACGTTCCAAACCTAAACTCTAAATATAAATAAATATATAATTATAAAAATTAAATATCATTATAAAATATAATTTATTGAATAAAATTATTTTTTATTATTTTATTTTTCAAATCTTTTTTTATATATGTTGATTAATTATGTCTTTAAATTAGTGATAAGAGTTTTTATTTCAAATTATTCTCTTTAAAAATATATAAATCTGAAAAGTAAAATAAAAAAGTGAAAATACATAAATAATTTTAGGTGTCATTTTTATCATAATAATTTGTATTCATAAGCTTTTATAATGTTAAAATTTTGTTATAGTTAGAAAAAATGAATTTTTTTATAAATATTGTTAAGAATCTAAATATAAAGTAAAAAAATATTAATTAAATAATTTATAATTTAATATATCATGATTTTGAATTGAAAATAGTGTAATATTTTCTGTTAGATCTAAAAAAAATTATATTAATAAGGAAAAAATACCAAAAAATTAAACATTAAGCTGATGTTTAAATTGGGTGATGGACTTGAAAAGTGAAAAAGAAGAAGAGAAAACAAAAATGGTAAAAAGGGAGGTTATGGTTTGAAAGAAAGATAAGAAAAATGAAAAGAAATGAATTAAAAGATAGTAATTGATAAAATTGATTTGAGTGATTAAAAAAAATTAAATGATAGAATAAATTAATAAATGATTAAAACATCCTTGATATAATTAAATATAAATTTAAATTCAAATATGATTTAATATAAAATAATTACTTAATAAAATAGATAAAAATAATTTAAAATTAAAATTAATTTATATATAATTAAAAATACTTTTTTGATATTTTGTAAACATATTTATATTTTATAATTTTTATAATAATTTATAAATACTATTAAATTGTAAAAGTTGTTTTAAAAAAGTATAATGTAAATTTATATGCTTTAACATTATTTTTAAAGTTAATAAAATAATATAAATATCATAAAATTTATTAATTAAAAATATCAATGTATTATATACTTTTAAAAATAAAAAATTATATAATTAAAATATTAATTTGACATCATCCAATTATTAATCCTATTATATGTATACAAATTATTATTATTATTATTATTATTATTATTATGTATTCAAAATTAATGTTTTAATATTATAAAAATATATTTTTTATAATTTTTACTTAATATTATTCTGAATTAGATTAGTAAAATAATTATTAAAGATGGATGATTTTGTTAAGGTTAAAAACAAATAGTTTGATACATAATCAAATATATATCCTCATATAATCTATTATGAATAACCTTTAATAATAATAAATTACTTTTAATATTTTATATTGACTTTATTTTAAAATATTCATTATTTTCTAGGTGACTTAATAATTGTAAATTCTACTTGTTTTTCTCATCAAATTATTAAAATTTTGTTAAAATAAATATAATAAATACACTAAAAATTGTTCTTCTATTTTTTCATTTACAGTCAACTAATAGAAAAAAGGGTTGAGAAAAAAAAATTACAACTTTTGCTAACAATGAAATAGAACCATATAAGGTATTCATTTATAAACACCCACCTTGTCTCACTCCTCCTCTTCCTTCTCCCACATTTTCCTCTCATTCACCTTCCGGGGTATCCCCTTTTGTGAATTCTAGTCCGTACTGTCCTCCTTTCACCATGTCCTGCTATGGGACGTTGTCATCGTCATGTCGTGCTTGATATCACTGTCATTCCTCTTTTCATTTTAAGATTTTAATTTTTTATGATCTTCATTTCGTTCTTCTTCCCTTCCTGTTGTTAGAGATTTTTATTTCTTATGATTTTGATTTATTCCTATCTCATTTCTTATTAATCTTATTTTATACTTATTCACTGTGATTTATTAATTACTGGTCAAGACTAAGCAAGATGTTATTTCAACAAACAATTTAAAATAAATTTAAACATTTTTTTTATTGTGATGTTATTCTTCTTTCATCAAATCATTACTTAAACAACTCGAAAGACTAAAAACAATTAAATATCCGCGATGTTCTTAATAAAATAATAAAATAAAACCCCGTCCTACATGAGAGATTACATCCCTTTATTTATTATTAAAATTTAAAGAAAATTCTATTTTGAAGAATTATTACAAGATGACGTCAAACCCAATCTTCGTACATAATAATGATAATAGAAAATAAAAATAAATAAATATATATATATATATATAGAAACGTCTGACACGGAAACTAAAATTTGGTCCACACATACAAATCATAGCCGCCACATACATGGCATAACAACTTCACTCCGTTCTCTAATATAATATTCCCATGAACATTAAATTAATTTTTATTAACTCATTTATGAAATAATTTCCTCCACTTTCCACAATCTACATAATTGAATAATTAATTTATGTATTGTATAAACCACAACTCGCCCCCACCTACCCAGAACAAAAGGCACAACTCAAACACGTTTTCATGTCATCATTTTCATTTTTATTTTCATAGACACACCACGATTGAGAATTGAGAAGTGAGAAGTGTTGGGGTTACAGAAAGAAGTAATGGTGTTTTCCAAGGAAGCAGGGTCATCGTCCTATTCCCTTCCACCGTACCCTAGAGAGGACAGTCCTCTACTGGGGAAGGCACCCCCTCTGTCCTCCAATCTAAAGACCTTCGCCAACATCTTCATCTCCGTAGTTGGGGCCGGAGTCTTGGGCCTCCCTTACAGCTTCAAGCGAACGGGCTGGCTCATGGGCCTCCTCATGCTCTTCGTCGTCGCCTTTCTCACCTACCACTGCATGATGCTCCTCGTCCTCACGCGCCGCAAACTCGAATCCGTAACGGGCTTCACCAAAGTCGCCTCTTTCGGTGACCTGGGCTTCACCATCTGCGGCCCGCTGGGCCGCTTCGCCGTCGACTCCATGATCGTCCTCTCCCAAGCCGGCTTCTGCGTCGGCTACCTCATCTTCATCTCCACCACCCTCGCCTTCCTTACCAACAATGAAACCACGCCGATCTTCCTCGGTTTCACCCCCAAGGTTTGGTTCCTCTGGGCCTGCTTCCCTTTCCAATTAGGGCTCATTTCGGTTCGCACGTTGACTCATTTGGCTCCATTGAGTATCTTCGCTGACGTTGTCGATCTAGTTGCCAAGAGTGTTGTCTTGGTCGACGATGTTTTTGTTTCTTTTAAGAATAAGCCCGAATTGAAAATGTTCGGCGGTTTTTCTGTGTTTTTCTACGGCATAGGTGTGGCTGTGTATGCTTTTGAGGGGATCGGAATGGTTCTGCCGTTGGAAACTGAGGCCAAGGAGAAGGAGAAGTTCGGTAGGGTATTGAGTTTGGTGATGGGGTCGATTTCTGTGTTGTTTGGTTTGTTTGGGGGTTTAGGTTACTTTGCGTTTGGGGAAGAAACTAAGGATATTATCACCACCAATCTGGGGCCTGGGGTGATTAGTGTTCTGGTTCAATTGGGGCTTTGCATTAATTTGTTTTTCACTTTTCCGATTATGATGAATCCTGTGAATGAGGTGGTGGAGAGAAGGTTCTGTGGATCTAGGTACTGCTTGTGGTTGAGATGGTTGCTGGTGTTGGTGATAAGCTTGGTGGCGCTTTTGGTGCCTAACTTTGCGGATTTTTTGTCCCTGGTGGGAAGCAGTGTGTGTGTTGTTTTGAGTTTTGTGTTGCCTGCAATGTTTCATTTTATAGTTTTTAAGGAGGAGTTGGGGTGGAGGTGTCTAGTTTGGGATGGAGCAATTGTGGTTTTTGGGTTTGTGATTGCAGTTACTGGGACTTGCACTTCTGTAATGGAGATTCTTTCCCCCACAGCCTAATCATTCAGTACAAAGCTTGTTAGAACATGTTTGGATAACCCTTCTGCGCATAATTTTGGGTGGTGAGTGTACTTTGGGAGAAAGATACTCTCTGTATCTTTTATTCTGAATCTACTATTGAGTAGTGTGTAATGGTAATCCAAACATATAATTGATTATTCATTCGGATAGAAAGGAGAAGCTAAGGTTATACATATTTTAAGTATAAGCTTGGTGTTTCCTTGATAGGGAGTTTCTTACCGCATGATGCTGATTGCACTGGGAGGGGAATTCTTGTAGGATTGATGCTCCTGAATGAAGTGTTCAATTAGCTGAATGATTTCTTGATCACCATCTAAAATAAAGCTCTATCTATACCTTGTTGTTGTTGTTTGATGTTCATTCTTTTAAAATCTGTATCATATTGATCTATAAGGTTTGTCTGAGAAATATTTCATTAGTTACTTGTTTCAAACTTCTTCCTTTATACTCTTGCTTTATGGATTAAAGAGAGACCTTTAAAGTTTTTAATCAGTTTCGTGCCTTGCACAACACCACCTTCTATGGTGGGAACCGGATCCTCTACAGTGATGATGAGAATTTTTTTCAAGTAATTTCCGTGCTTTGTTTTTAACTCAGTTTGATAAAAAAAAAAATTAGGCAAGTACTTATTATTATTATTATTATTATTATTATTATTATTATTATTATTATTATTATTACTCGAATGAACAAGTAGAAATAACATACGCTCAAACTTACGTAGTTTTTCTTTTTCTATATAAACAAAAAAATGTCATTAGGAAGTTCTGGTCAGTAATAAAAAAGGGTATTAGTTTCATTTTTATCAAATTGGCATTATATTTATGTTGAAATGGGTCATCAGTCTCCATCTTGTTTCTAAGCCATTGATGTTATTTTTGGTTATATTATCCTTATAAATTTTTCCAACACATTTTCTTAATAGTTTTCCACGTCAACAACCATGTTACACATTTATGTTCTTCCTTCTTATCTCTTTATTTATAGTGTAATTTATTTAATAGAGAAATCGTTTAAATGTAAATTCTCTTCTTTTTTTCCAATTCCATGTGATATCAAAATAGGAAAAACTATTTAGTCGCCCCTCTCCACATTTGTTTAAAAAAACTAAATACTTAGTTTTTCTGATTAGGTAAAAAAATTAAATTAAAGATATTTTCGTATTATTTTGTTCACAAAATCATTTTTTTAAATTATAAGATTGTTGACTGGATTGTGTTAGTCAATTATCAAACCCAACTAAATCTAATTAAAATTGATTCGATTAATTTTTTTTGTATAACTTGATGAGATAAAACCTAATTTGATCTCATCTAATTTTCTGTGAATTGAGTATCGAGTTTTGTTTGTTTAATTCCAAATCCAACTTAACTATAACAAAACTATTAAATAATATTAATAATATAGTTATTATCTAATTTATTTAATTATTCTTTTAACAAAATATATAATCCTCCTCACTTCGCTTTTATAGAATTCTGAGACAGTGGAAGAAGGGTGATAGTTATTAGGATATATGGTAGGAGAAATTGTTCATGTTAAATTATAATTATAAATTTTAATTTGTATCAGAATTTTTACTCTGCTAGTTTCTTTTACTGATTTTAGTTTTGATGTGCTTACAAAATTTGATATTTTTTTATCTAATCCTTTATTTTGTATAGTTTTCGGTTTAATGTTTTAATATTTAAATTATTTTGTTATAGTAATTTTAATGAATACGTTAGATATACCGTTTAATTGCATCAAATAAAATAAAGAAAATATATCGAACAATAAATATTTGATGGATATTGCAGTTTCAATAAATGTGGAAAATAAAATAAAGAACAAAATAACTACAATCGTAAATTAATAATTAGAGAAGACCAAAACTATAATTTATTTTTATATTTCCTGTTTAGTAGATAAATGTGAGTTATTAGAAATAAGTGTGAAATAAATTATAGATTAAAAAAGTTTAAAAATAAAAAATAGGTAATAAATAATGTACTGAATTTTACTACTTTTACAATTATTTTCATTCTTTTCGGCTTCTTCCCCACATCAAAAATTAGTTTCACCTACTCTTTTTCTCTTTTAAGTCATTAAATTTTTTAAAAGAAATTTATTGAAAATGTGGAAATATAGATATTTGAAAGTGTTAGAAAATATGACCTTAAAAAAATAGTCGAATTTATTACATTTCATTAAATAAAATATATATTCACATATATAAAATGTAATTAAGATATATAATTTAAGGATTATAAATTTAATAATAATAAACAATAATAAAATTAATATACAACAAGTAATAATTTTTTTTATGTATTCAATAATTAGATAATACGTTTAGCTAAATATACCTACTGGATAAAAAAACTATATATATATATATACATTGTTATCCTTGAAACGATAAGATTAATATTATGAACAAATTATTCAAACTTATCCTAAAAAAATTAGATTTTATAAATAATTATGTCAAATTTTCTCCTAAATAAACCATCAGGACTTTTATATTATCATTCTTTTAAAAGTAAAATATAAAAAGTAATTTAAAAAATATATTTTATTATATATTTTTTAATATATTATTATTTTAATTAAATAATAATATATTATTGTTTTTATATATAATTGTTGATGTCATTTTTCTTAAAATAAAAATCATAAATTTTATGGACATGTAAAAATTATAAATATCAATCAAATACATTTATAATTCACCTCAAATAATGCTAAACATTTTTCATAATTAAATGATGTTATTATTATTTATTTTATTACGAAATAAAATCTATCTCCACTTATAAATAAATATCAATCTCATATAAACGAATGATTACGAAATCTAACAAATGTATTTATGATCCATTAAATTTAATTTTAAAATATTCAATAGAAAAACTCATTTAAAATATCTTCATATAAGAAGAAAAAGTGTGGGAAAGGCATGTGATAAAAGGAAATATTGGCGGTGAAGGAGGCAGCAATGATGATGTTTTGAACATGAAAGGAAGATAATTTATCCATTTTCACAATTTTAACATGAGAAAAAAAAAAGAAAAAGAGAGTTGAAGTGACACACAGCAGTTATTTTGGGTCATAAGAGAGAAGAGAGGAGTAATCACCAATGCAAATAGAATATTATATTAATTACTATTGCTAAGTAAATGATGTAATATTAGTAACTAATATAAAACATTATCCAAAAATTATGATACTACATCATCCTATATTTTAAAACATCGTGATTCTATTAACCACTATAAATGAGACATTTATAGAAAAAGTATTGTTATGTAAGTAATATTTTTCATTTTACTTCCTTCTGTATCATAAATCCAAGTATTTAATAAAAGGCAAAAACAATGTCTTGGAAGGAATACTAACCTAAATAGGGATAGAGACTCAACCTATTCACCATCAAACTATGTAAATAAAAGTTATCGTCCTCTAGTAAGTTTATTAGTGTAATGCAAAACATATTCTCTCTCTCCACTCATGATGTTATGCATGCATTCATCTCATTTTTTTCAACTTTTAGGTTCATTGCATTTCAAAAGAAATTACAAATAACTTTCCACGTGATTTTAATTTTTCTTGTACCAACCTAAATCAGAATCCGATTCCAATACTTTACATTCATATTAATTGCCAGCTTCCTAGGTACATGAAACCTTAAAAGGGGAAAATACTGACTGATAAAAGTTTAAGAACTTACCATTTCTAATTCAGCAACAGAGGCCACAACATTAAGTTAATGAAACACTTTGAATGGAGTAACAATGTTTTTGAGACTCCCATGCCATGTGCTTGTGTGAATCTCCTCAATGATGTACTTGATATGTAAGAGATGTTTTTTACTAGCTTATTGGTTAAATGTTACACATTAGTATCTATGTATTAAATGAAAGCTTGAAAAATTTTGTATCAATTCATAAATGTTACACAATATATTCTTCCTAATGAGTACTATTAGAAAAAGTACGAAATACATGAATGTTTAGTTCAACATTATTGATGATACATTAGACTAAGAAGTCAAATCAAATCTAAAAAAACAAAACCCAATTAATAAACCAAGACTTTTGAGATTTACTACTAACTCGTGAAATTATGATAGTTGTTGTAATTAGCTAGGTCATTACCTAGGAACCCTAGAAAAACAAATAAATAAACCATAAAGGTGTACATTAAAAAAGAGGTGCATGATTGGACATGACAGAAACCCACAAACCTGTTTCAGAGTATGATTGCTCCACCTCACTTGGAAACAGACAGTTGCAATGATCGAATCCCGAAAATAGTCAATGGCAGAGGTAAACCAACCGCGGAAAATGAAGGGCATAAGGGGAATAATAAAAGACGGTGGGCTGTGAAATTGAAGGAGTAGGAAAAATGGAAGACCCACACATCACATGAAGAAAGAAAGAGAAAAAAGTGGAGGAATAAGGAATAAGAATTGCATCCTCCTAAACAAAAGCCTCACACATCGCAAATATAATAACGCTCCATCTTCCTAAACAAAGACTTCGCGTCCAAGCAATTTCGAGTTAAAGAAGATATATCAAAAGGGGAAAGCAGAGCAATCAGTGGATAATTCTGAAACCAGAATCAGATTTTTTTTTTTCGTTTTTTCTGGTGAATCTGAATAGATCAGAAGGTGATGTCGTGTTCGTCGTCATCAGGGTCGGAGGAAGACGATGAGGGATTCGACTCTTACCGGAAAGGAGGGTACCACGCCGTCAGAGTTGCCGATCAGTTCGGCGGCGGCAGGTACATAGCACAAAGGAAGTTGGGTTGGGGTCAGTTTTCCACCGTCTGGCTTGCTTACGATACTAAAACTTCTGTATGTTTCTTACCCATCTTGTCTTTGTCTTTGGTATGTCGTTTTTTGTCATTGTTTTCTTCGAAAGGCTTCATTTCGAGACCACCCTTTTTGGGTTTGGATTCTGGGCTGTGATGGGTGTTCTAAGTTTGAAAATTTCATTGTGTATTGGGCGTGTTTAGTTGGTTGGAAATTTGTGTCCTTTGAATGTTCGGGGAGGTTCCGGGATCTTCGGTTCTTGTTTGGGCACTTTATGTCTTTTTGTGTCTGAGATGATTTGGCTTCTTGATGTTGATTGCTTGCCACTATGGAAATATGAATCTATGATCCCTTCTTTTCTTCAACGTGTGTCAATAAAAGGAATCTATACATGTTGGCGTAGCGGGAAACGGTGGATGGTCCTCACAAAATGTGACCACCTGGTATACATGGGTGACGGAGATTTGTCTGTATATAGAGGGCCAATAAATGCGCCCCTGCTGCTCCTGTTTGAGCGGCTTGATTCTGATTTGGTAATGATTTTGTGTATAAAGCACCTTGGTAACCGTGACACTATTATTTCTTTCTTAATCCAATGCATATATTTGATTTCGTTGAGAGGGTATAGTGAGCTGAATATGGAATGGTAGTTAGTTGTTGTGGTTCTGAAGTTAAATTTTGATTCAGCCGAGGTGAGGGTTAAGACTAAAGAATGAGTATTTTATTTGCATAACTACTGTCTATTCGTGGATCCAACACTTGTGTTACATAAACCGCATAGGTTGTCGTTGTAGGTTCTTGCTAGTGCTTGAATTTAGAAAGCAAAAAATGGGGCACATCCAAAGGAAGAAGAAAATAAGATTAAGTTGTACAGCATATGCACAACTTCATCCTTTTGCTCATGGATTTATGTCTTACTTCAGAAACTTGCTATGAAGGTTAAACATGTATGTTTGGTTGTGCATTTATTCTCAAGGTTTACCTTTACCCCCAAGCAATGATAATTTCTTGTTATTTTTGCTCTCCAGCTTACATCTTTTGGATATTTTATCTAATTTTAAGATTGTGGTTTTCAGTCATTTGTTGCTCTCAAGATACAGAAAAGTGCGGCCCAGTTTGTTCAGGCTGCCCTTCATGAGATTGATATTCTTTCATCCATTGCTGAACATGACCCATCAAATTCAAAATATGTAATTCAATTGATTGACAACTTTAAGCACACGGGTCCAAATGGGCAGCATCTTTGCATGGTCCTTGAGTTTCTTGGTGATAGCTTGCTTCGCTTGATCAAATATAGTCGTTACAAAGGTCTTCCATTGAATAAAGTTAGAGAGATTTGCAAATGCGTTTTAATTGGTTTGGACTACTTACATACTGATCTTGGTATAATTCACTCTGACCTGAAACCTGAAAACATTCTTCTATGTTCAACCATTGATCCTGCCAAAGACCCTTTAAGATCTGGACTCACCCCGATTCTAGAGCGGCCTGAGGGACACACAAATAGTGGAGTAACAAGTCTCATTGAGAAAAGATTGAAAAGGAGAGCAAGGTCGGCAGTTGCTAAGATATCTGGAAGAAGAACGTCGATGGGAGGAACAGGAGATGTTCGAAAGACTGATAGAAATATTCATGGGATCGATGTGAGATGCAAGATAGTAGATTTTGGAAATGCGTGTTGGGCTGATAAGCAGTTTGCAGAAGAAATACAGACAAGGCAGTACAGAGCACCTGAAGTTGTACTGATGTCTGGCTACTCTTTTCCTGTTGACATGTGGTCTTTTGCGTGCATTGCTTTTGAACTAGCCACTGGGGATATGTTGTTTACACCAAAGGGTGGACAAGGTTTTAGTGAGGATGAGGTATGATGATTTCACTAACACTATAAATGGTCTCGCATAAACTGTATAGCTTAGATTTCTTTGCCATTACTTATAGAATAAAGTATGTATGCATAATTCAATAATTTGATTAGTTAGTTTGAGAGGAAGTTCGGGTGTGCACTAGGTGCTGGAACAAAGTCTTGATTATTGACTTTGCCAACATGCAATTTATACTACTTTGGTGCATCTGGTTCAATCATAACTCAACATTTTGTAAGGAGGTTCCTTTGGCTTCAATTTGGTTTAAAGCTCGTGATCTTTTAAAATGCTGGCATGACTATCAGAAACAATTTGGAAAAAATGGTTGTATCATGTTATCTTTTGTCATTAATACTTACATATACGCTTGTATTGCTTTTATTGTGGGAGATATGAAAGATAGCAACATAAGAACGGAATTCATTGAATCACCGTCTTAAACCAGTACGCCAGATATCAGCTTGACAATTTTCCCGACTATTTTACTGAATCATTTAATTTTTTTGCATTTGACATTATACAATAGTTTTGGTAGTAATTATATAATTACTGTCTCAAGTGCCAATATTATTTTATTGTATCTCTTCTGTTGCCACATCATATGCTATCCTTTACCGGGAGTGGTGTTATGTAACAATTTATGTTAAAGTATTCATTGTTTTCATCCATTTATAATCCTTTTACAGGCTACAGCCCTGCTGTGAATGGAACTAAAAAATGTCTTTTCTGCTTCTGAAATGTTTCTGGTTGCGTTTTTATTTCTGAAAATATGTTTTATATAATCATAGGATGAAATTGAAAGTTTTTGGCAAGTGATCTGTGATTAAAAACTCTTGAAATAGCTAAGTGAGAAATCTATCAAATTGAAGTTTCCACCATCGAAGCTTTATTCTTGGCTGATATTGTTGAAAAGAAAAGGGTCAAGATCAGTTTGCATCATGAGTTCCATGGTATTGACAGAAAATTTTAACTGCAATCACTTGAGTCAGAAATATTCTTTGATTTGTTGAGCGAAAAAAGAGTAGGAAAAAAATCACCACGGACATTAATGCAGTAGGCCACTTGTGATTGCCTACACTTGTTGAACACAATACCCTAAAAAACATTTTAGCAGAAAAATGAACTCTGCATTGTGTTGATTTCAGGATCACCTTGCTCTGATGATGGAACTCCTTGGAAAGATGCCCCGGAAGGTTAGTACACTCCAACACTTTGTTCATATCATTTCTTCAAGATTGCTTTGGCTATTCTGCCATATCTAATGCTTGTGAGTTGCAGATTGCTACTGTAGGAGCTCAATCCAAGGATTTCTTTGACAGGCACGGGGATCTAAAAAGAATTCGAAGGCTAAAATTTTGTCCACTAGACAAATTGCTGATTGATCGATATAAATTTTCAGTGAATGATGCTCAAGAGTTATCAGAATTTCTTCTACCTCTGTTTGATTTTGCGCCAGAGAAGCGACCAACTGCGCGACAATGCCTGCAACATCCATGGCTGAAGTGCATAGAGTCCCCTCCAAATGAAACTACTAGGAAAAATGTGGATGTTGGGATGAGCAACCTGAAAATCAGTGGGGGAAAGTGAAGGGGTGAAATGTGGTTTGACACAGTCAAAGTCGTAGTCACATCTTTAAGCCCCTCCTTCCACATGAACTATTGATTGTGATATTATTATTATTTTTTGTTAAACTTCAATAAGATTCTTTCCATTGGATTATTAACTACAAAGATGTAAATCAGTAAAGAATTTTGTTCCTCCAGAGTGCGTGTATTTTGTTCATATGTTGCAAGTCATGACATCACATTCATTCAAGTCTTAATTTTTCCTTCATAACCATTGAAGTCATGACTCATCACATAAAAGTAACACAAGGATAGGAGAAATAAATGTGTTGATTCTAATGGGAGAAAAAAACCACTAGTCTTTTTCTTTTCATTTGCATAATTTCAACATCTTTGTCATCAACCATGTTATCTGTGTCATTGTTAAGAAAGACAGCACTTTGAAGAGGGTTATAAATATCAAGGAAGTGATGATTGTTGTCGAACTGAGTATTATACCATTAACATTATATTAATCTGAGTGAAACTGGGTTTTTCTAAAGCAATAATTTTAAGTTTAAACTATTTAAATGAAAAAGAATGAAAACAAAGAATCTATTAAACATGATTAACCATCACTAAGGATAAAAATATTAGATTTTCTAATAATGATCACGACAAACATTTCACATTAATAATATATATATATATATATATATATAAACATTTATTATTTTTTGGACGGTTCTACCTTAAATAGTCCTGGATTGAAATGATGGTAGGAGCAATGACGTGGTGGGCCCAAGAAGTCCAACGGCCCTTTTCAATCATTTTTTTTCACTCAAGCAAATTTTAGATGAAATTAAAAGTTATTTTGTGTGACATATTTTATATTTTGTACAAAATTATTATAGCACATTAACTTTTAATTAATTAATAATGAAAATAATTATAGTTCAAATTTTTTATGTTTCACCGTGACTTCATGTGTTTAGCTAGATTTTCTGGTCTCCCAAAAATCTAGTTAATCATGAAAAAATATTAGGAAAATAATGTTGAAAAATATGTTGTTAACATTTTTATTTTTAATAAATGTTTTAAAATTTAATCTATTGGTGATTATTAAGAATTTATTTTTCAATTTCCAAAAAAAAATTCCTTTTTAATTCTCATATTTACGAAAAAAAACTGATTTATATTATATCTAGTATTGACAATTAAACCAGCATAGAATTATAAAAATAATAAAATAAATGAAACTTTAAATAAAATAAAAAGATTATTTATTATATGTGTATAGCAAGTTATGTAGAATATGTGAGTTTTATTAATTTTAAATTATTATAAATAAAAAATAAAAAATAAAAAACAAAGCTTAAAACTGGTTTAGTATACCAAATTTTAGTTATCGTTGAATAACATGACCTTTCCAGAAGAATAAATGTTACCGAGTTAATCACCTCAAATTATGAGATGAATTATCACAAAAATCAGTAAAAGGAGGAGAATCTATAAATTCATAAAAGACAATAATGAATAAGGTATAACGGTTAGAAAGAAGGAACTTAGGTGAAACAGGATTTTCTATGAAAAGTGTGAATATTTTTTCTAATTTATTAAAATGGGAAAATTTTTTAAAAATTATAAATTAAATTCATCAAATAACATCTTATATGTTCCACATTTTTATTTTTAGATTTTTTTTTTAATTCTACTATTTTATATTTATTTTTTATTGTTTTATTATTTTTGATTTATTTTTAAAATTTTAGAAATTTAATTTTTATAATTAGATCCGTTAGAAAATTTAAGATTTTGTTGCTTTATTTTGTTTGTATTAATTTTAGATTAATCATAACTTTGTATATTATATATTCACACTTTCATTATTAGTGATTTTTCTATAACATTCCACTGTTTCATTTTAATTTCTTTTTTCTAGTTTTTTTAGTCATTTTTTTATATTTTAGAAATTTAATTTTTATACACTTGTTAAAAAATTCTAAATTTTTTTGTGTTGTTTTCTTTTATTATACATATGTATGTTTTATATTTCACATTTTAATCATTTAAAGATATTTTTTTCAAAATTCCACGGTTTCATATTTGTTTTTTTTTATTCTAGTATTTTTGAATTTTTTTTTACATTTTAGGAATTTAGTTTTCATAGTTACACCTGTTACAAAATTATAATTTTTTTGTGTTATTTATTTTATTCCTTTTAAATTAATCATAACTTTACATTTTACATATCCCATCATTTAATTGTTAGGAGATTTTTTTTAAAATATAAAATGATTACTGAAAACAAATAGGAAATATAAATAAATGAGCTCGAAAGAGTGTAGTGGAATTTTTTTTATTACAAAAATTCTCCAACACAAAATTACTAGAAAAATAAAAAATTGAGCTTGAAAGGTCTGTAGTGAAATGTCTTTACCCAAGCACAAAAAATTGCAGAAATGTCTTCATTGGTGTAATTACAAACATTGAGTTCCAAAAATGTAAAATTATTACTAATAAGAAAACAAATAAATTACAGAGTCCAAAAAAGTGCAGTGGAATTTTTTTACTAAGAATTTTTCCCAACCAAAAAAATTGTATAAATTTCTCAATGGGGTAACTACGAAACTAAATTTGAAAAATGTTACAATATAACCCAAAACTACTTGAAAGAGTGCAGTGAAATTTTTTTATGAACAAAAAATATCCACACCATAAAAAAATTGTAGAAATTTTTAAGTGGAGTAATTACGAAAACTAAATTCCTAAAAAACAAGAATATTACTCAAAACAAATAGAAGAATAAAAATAATGAGCTTGCAACACCACAGTGAAATTTTTTTACTAAAAAAATTTCCTAGAGAAACTCTTAGAAAAAAAAAATTTCTCCGACACAAAAAATTGTACGAATATCTTACCGGTGTGACTGCGAAAACTAAAATCCTAAAATGTAAAAATATTACTCAAAAAAATAAGAAATATAAACAAATGAGCCTAAAAAAGTGCAGTGAAACTTTTTTTATTACAAAAATTCCCCAACACAAAACTACTAGAAAAATAAAAAATTGAGCTTGAAAGGTCAGTAGTGGAATGTCTTTACCCAACACAAAAAATTGCAGAAATTTCTTGCTCGTGTAACTACAAAAACTGAGTTCTAAAAATATAAAATTATTACTACAAAGGAAACAAATAAATTACAGAGTCCAAAAGAGTGCGATGAAATTTTTTTACTAAGATATTTCCCTAAACCAAAAAATTGTATACAATTCTCAATGGGGTAACTATGAAACTAAATTAAAAAAATGTTACAATATTACCCAAAACTACTTGAAAGAGTGCAGTAAAATTTTTTTATGAAAAAAAATATCCCCAACACAAAAAAATTGTAAAAATTTCTAACTGGAGTAATTATGAAAATTAAATTACTAAAAAACAAGAATATTACTCAAAACAAATAGAAAAATAAAAAAAATGAGCTCCAAACACTACAGTGAAATTTTTTTACTAAAAAAAATTTACCAGAGAAACTCCTAGAAAAAAAAACAAAATTTTCCCACACAAAAAATTGTACGAATTTCTTACCGGTGTGACTGCGAAAACTAAAATCCTAAAATATAAAAACATTACTCAAAACAAATAGGAAATATAAACAAATGAGTCTGAAAGAGTGTAGTGGAACTTTTTTTATTATAAAAATTCCCCAACACAAAACTACAAGAAAAATAAAAAATTGAGATTGAAAGGTTGTAGTGAAATGTCTTTAGCCAGCAAGAAAAATTGCAGAAATTTCTTGCTGAAGTAACTACAAAAACTGAGTTCCAAAAATGTAAAATTATTACTACAAAGAAAGCAAATAAATTACAGAGTACAAAAGAGTGCAGTGGACTTTTTTTACTAAGATATTTCCCCAACCCAAAAAATTGTATAAATTTCTCAATGAGATAACTATGAAACTAAATTAGAAAAATATTACAATATTACCAAAAACTACTTGAAAGAATTCAATGGAATTTTTTTATGAAAAAAAATATCTCCAGCAGAAAAAAATTGTAGAAATTTCTAACCGAGTAATGACGAAGGCTAAATTCCTAAAAAGCAAGAATATTACTCAAAACAAATAGAAGAATAAAAAAATGATCTTGAAACACCATAGTGGAATTTTTTTTACTAAAAAAATTTCTCGGAGAAACAACTAGAAAAAAAAAACAAAATTCTCCGACACAAAAAATTATACGAATTTTTTACCGATGTGACTGTGAAAACTAAAATCCTAAAATTTGAAAACATTACTCAAAACAAATGAACCTGAAAGAATGTAGTGAAATTTTTTTATTACAAAAATTCCAAAACACAAAACTACTAGAAAAATAAAAAATTGAGCTTGAAAGGCTATAGTGAAACGTCTTTACCCAACACGAAAAATTGCAAAAATTTCTTGCTGGTGTACCTACAAAAACTGAGTTCCAAAAATGTAAAATTATTACTACAAAGAAAACAAATAAATTACAGAGTACAAAAGAGTGCAGTGAAATTTTTTTACTAAGATATTTCCCAAACCCAAAAAATTGTATAAATTTCTCAATAAGGTAACTACGAAACTAAATTCGAAAAATGGTACAACATTACCCAAAATTACTTGAAAGAGTGCAGTAGAATTTTTTTTATGAAAAAAAATATCCCCAACACAAAAAAATTGTAGAAATTTTTAACCGGAGTAATTATGAAAACTAAATTTCTAAAAAATAAGAATATCACTCAAAACAAATAGAAGAATAAAAAAGATGAGCTTAAAACACTACAGTGGAATTTCTTTACTAAAAAAATTTCTTAGAGAAACTCCTAGAAAAATAAACAAAATTCCTCGACACAAAAAATTGTACGAATTTCTTACCAGTGTGACTGCGAAAACTAAATTCCTAAAATGTAAAAACAATTACTCAAAACAAATAGCAAATATAAACAAATGAGTTAGAAAGAGTGCGGTGAATTTTTTTTATTACAAAAATTTCGCAACACAAAACTATTAGAAAAATAAAAATT